TTGGACAGAAAGCGAGACAGACACATACAAACAGGCAAAGAGATAAACAAACAGGTAAAGAGAGAGCGACATAGAGAGAGAGAAACAGAAACAGGTGAGAGTACACATATACATATACACAAACAGCTGTGCCGCTTGTGCGCACGCCAGGTGCAGGGTGTTTTTCTTTTTTTGTGGAGGGTGGGGGTTGTGTGAGAGAAAGAAATCTATGAAGAGCAAAAAGATGATGTGGTTGAAGAATGTCCCTCGAGTTTTCCACATTTGCAAAAAAAGACAAAAAACAGAGAAAAGAAGAGCACGAACGGCCCTAAAGGACGGGTAGTGGCCACTTCACAACCTGGATAGGCTCCACCGCGCTCTCTCTACGAATGTATCAAGCCATCTTTCTGGTCTAATACAGTCATGATGAGGGTTGGTCTTAACCCCGACATAGAAACCAGATATGAGCCCAGAAATGCGGTCATCAGCAGTTTCGTCAGAAGATCGCAGGTGTCCTAAGCACAAAGCACCCTCATTATTACGACTGTATCGTACCAGAAAGATGGCTTGATACATTCGTAGAGAGAGCAGGGATACATTCGTGTTTTTCGTTTTGTTTTGCAAATGTGGGAAGCTCGAGACCGCGCCATTGCGATCGAGTACATCTAGATCCGGTTGTAAATGCAGTCAGATACATTTAAGAGAGCTGCTGGTGTGAGGTCGCCCTGAGGTGGCACAATTGTTTTGGCGGGGGCGGATGAGGGGGCGGGGGCGGAAACTACGCAGGAGTCACAAAAGAAGTTTGAAATCACACTTTGGGCAAAAAAGAGTTTCAAATCGCACTCGGGCAATGTATACAAGTAGCTTTCGGGGCAGATAGGGTTACGTGGGGGGTTGTTGTGTTCAGGGGAATGCCACTTCGGGCGCTGGTAGGCCACTACCGTCGTCACCCGAATAGAACGCCCGGTCATTATAGCCGTATTTGGTGCACTTTCAGTCCAGATACAGCTGTAATAACCAGGCGTTCTATTCGGGTGAAGACGGTAGCTGAGAGTGTACGGGCGCACACGGGTGCAGGTGGAAGTGAGGCCCACTGCATGGAAGCAGCGCCACAGCCCAGCCTCCATAGCAGGGTTCGGGCTTGGAAATGTCAGCAGGGTATGGTGGTGGTCTTTTGTTGGAGAAGGAGCGTGGGGGAGAAGACGAGGGTGAGAATTGAGAGGGCGAGTGGGGAGTGATGCGAGAGCACGTAACTGGTCGTCGTGGAGGTCTGGATGAGGGACATCTGCATGTACTTTGGCGGCTGCTGCTGACATCAACCGGTTGTTTTGTCATTTCAGTAGGCTGGTACAGTAGCTGTATGATTGTAGTCTGGGCGGTTAGAGCGCCGATAGGAGGGCGAGCTTTGGGGACTTTTTTTTTTTTTTTTTTTTTTTTTTGTTGTTGATGGTGGCAAGATAACGGCTGACGTTCACAATTGACTCGAAATTCTCGAATTGAGATTTCGCTGCTTTGGTTCTCCTATTGTGTAATATAGGTGCATTCCTGCTTTCTGTTTCTGGACAGTTTACAACTATATCTGGCTTTCAGTGTGATTTTCCAATTTTGGGAAGTCCATCATTTCGCTATTGCTCTTTTTCCTTCACCCTTTTTTTTTTTTTTTTTTTTTTTCCTTTTTTTAAATCCAAGATCCCAAATGCATATAACCGGCATATCATGGCCAAACTCCTCTTTTTTAATAATAATGTCATAAAGACTCATAATCTTTTTTTTTTTTTTTTTTAACAAAGGCGACCTTCCCGGTAGGATCCGGGCACTCCGGCCAGGTTCATAGCGCGGTATAATGTCATAAAAATCTCTTTAAAGGAGAGTGAGAATGAGATGTGAAAATAAAATACCCTCTGATTTGACTTGTATACAGCAGGAACTGGAGGGTTGCGGAATCTCTCTGTCAATCAGCAGCAAGCACAATGTCAACAACACCAACGTAAATAATGGAATAAAGTCAGTTGAATTAAAAAAAAAGAAATAAAGTCAGTTGAATTTAAAAAAAAAAGAAAAAAAAAGGTAAGTCCAAGTGCAAATCAAAGGTTTGTCAAAAAAAAAAAAAAAAAAAAAAAAAGGTTTGGGTTATGGGGACATCTACCTTGCGGTGGGTCTACAATGAGTCTGGAAACTGACCTCCACAACAGCCTGGTGTGAGGAATGTGTCCTCATGGGGCCCTAGCCAACTTCCACATGTTCTGGACTGTGGCCCCCAGCAAGCCTCGTGCCCGCCCTAAGTGAAGGCGGGCCTGAATATCCACGAGAGGCTCTTACCTCAGCATTTTCCAATGTGGGTATGAGACGGTTGCCGCACGCCAGTTGGTTAAGTGCAACCTGGGCCTCTCCCTGGGCTCTTTGCAGAAGCGACAGTTGCGTCAAGCAGTTGAGCCCCAGGTGGGTGGTTGCGCCCTGGGCGCACGCAGTGTGAGGCCGACACATCACGAAGTGGCCGTGGGCAAATGAGAATGCAGCATTGTCGTCACACCTACCCCCCGCGGGCAAATGCAAACACGGCAAACACTTGGAGCCTGGAGGCATCCAGAAGGTGCCCAAGCGAAGAGGGCCCAGGCCGTTAACTGTATGCATGGGCCTGGGCGCAGACACTGGGGCCTGACCGGAAGCTACTGGAAACTTCCTCGGCCAGGCGCAGGCAGCCCAGCAGGGCAGCTACTCCCATATAGGGAGGAGGGTGGCCGGAGGCTGACATTCTGGCCTGGGCAGGCAATGCGGACACGCTGCTGCGCCGCTGCGCAAGTGTCTGCGTTAGCGCTGCTGGCTGGGGCGCATGCAGGCGCTATGAAGTGAAGAGGGGCGCTGCAGGGCAGCGGGCACTTAGCGGCCATAGCCGGGCTGCAGGGCCGCGGACAGGTGATGGGCGACGGTGGTCTTCAGGGAAGGAGGCGCATGAGTGGGTGGACAAGGTCTGATGAGGGGAGAACAGAGAACGTACCTGGTGTAAGTGGGAGGTCGGCATTAGTGTTGACGTCATGTACATTGGTCTTCGACGGCGAAGTGATCCTGTTGCACAGATGTAGATAGGATAGATAGCAGGTGAAGCTCCCCACCAATAGATGGAGCCTCCCCTCTGGGTGCTAGTGGTGTCTGCTCTTACCAGCATCACTAGCACTGCGAGGGCGTGTCTTTCAAAAAAAAAAAAAAAAAAAAAAAAAAAAAAAGGATAGATAGGCTGAGTAGAGTAGACTGGGCACTGGGCACCATACAGTAGGAGCCACATTGGATACTGCGTTCGTGTGGCCTGAGGGCTTGGACATTGGCTCAAGAGTTCATTGTATTGCTCTTATGTGGATGGAATCTCTGTGCATTTATGCTCGCTGCTTGGTACATGACTATCTGGACTTCTGTGTGATTTTGCAACTTGTTTTTTTCTGTCCATCACTCTCACTCATATTCTCTGCATTGGGCTTTATAATAGCCTTTATTGAAAAAAAAAAAAAAAAAAAAAAAAACAGTGAGGAAAGAGTCTTATGACTCTTATCATAACAGAGTCAAGATCAGTGGCATAAGTCAATCGCCAAGTGAATAAATTAATTAATTTAATTAAACTAAATTAATCCTGTTAGGGAAAAGTCTGTAGATTATCGCATTATCAAGTATGCCTCGTCAAAATACATCTATTTCTCACTCGCGTCTCGGAGCTATTTCTTGGTAATTTCACCGATTAGGCGAGCTGACGGTGCCTTTCTTTCCCTTTTTTTTTCTTTTCTGTTTTTCTTCTTTTCGAAGGCACTTGCCGTTTGAAAAAAAAAAAAAAAAAAAGAAGAAGTGAGAAAAAAAAATCCTCATTGCAAATATGTGGCAAAGCTATGGTCTGCACTTTATCAGCCACAGGACCTCCTCTGTGCACGGACGGATTCGAACCGGCGGCCTCAAGCCTCAAGAGTTGAGTCTCTTAACCAACCGGTACTTGGCCCAGCTATCGATGCCGAGCTTCGGAACGTCCTGCGCGCCAAGCTTCGCCGAACCGCCAGCGCGATGTTTTTTTTTTTTTTTTTTTTTTTTCGGCTCGTGCCTCCAGCTTTGTGGTCCGGTACCCCGAAGGGCGCAGGTCGCGGCGTGTTAACGGCTAAGGCCCGCAGGCGATAGCTGGGCCAAGTACTGGTGGTCTAACCACTACAGCCATGGCACAGTGTACGAAACTCACAAAAGTAGATCCATGCCGGTCTTGATATCCACCCCACCCCAACATGGATGTAGTGTCCTTCAACTCACACACACACATACACACACACACACACACACACACACACACACACACACACACACACAACACCACATAAGGCATCCGCCACACAGGCAGTAGTCCCACGCTCCGCCCTCATCCAGCACAACTGCTTATCGAACGGTTTTATCAACAGGCCACCTCATCCAGCAAAGCTATGATCAGATGGAAAGCAATCTCAAATGGCCTTCTCCCGGAGTGTAAGCAATAACCTCATTAAGATTGCCTAATCCCACTTCAGCTATTTTGCGTAAGGGTTTGGAGGCAGGCAGGGAGACCGATGGTGCCAAGGGTGGCCCCAAGTGGTCGCATCGAATCTCCGAGCCTGGCCTGGGAATTTTAGGATGAATGGGACCCTGGACACGCTTTCCAGCTGATTGAAAGAACAGGATCTGGCATCCGGTAAGAAGGATGAAGAGGCGGACTCCTATGGACAGGCTCATTTCGATCATCGCAAGGGATGCTGGACCCGGTTTCCAGCACTGGTGGCCTTCGCAGCTCATCTCATGTTCATGCGAGGAATGAGCCCTCGCGGGGCCCTTATCAGACATACAAGTGTTCAGGGCTGCAGCCCCTAGCAAGCCTGTGCGCACCCTAAGTGAAGGTGGGCCTGAATATCCACAAGAGGCCTGTTTTCGACATTGTTGGGGATTCAGACAGTTGCAGCATGCCAGTTGGTTACAGAGCAACATGAGCCTCCAGGCTCTTTCCAGAAGCAAGGGCGGCGCTGTACAGTTGAGCCCAGCGCTCAGGTGGTTGCGCCCTGGGCACACACTGTGTGAGGCCGACACATCACGCACTGGCTGCGAGCCAATGAGAACGCAGCATTGTCGTCACACATGAGTCGGGAGCCAATGAGAATGCTGTGAACACTTGGAGGCTGGGTGGCTGCCTGAACGGGCGTATGTGCACGAGACCCAGGTTTGTATCTGAAACTGGGCCTGGGTCGCAGAAACTTGGGGCCAGCAGCAAGCTACTGGGCCCGCCGCACGCCTGGCCAGGCCAGCCAGCAGCAGGCACACTTTCCGTGAAGGCAAGCGTGTGCCCAGGGAGGGGCATTCTGGCCTTGGCAGGCAATGCGGACACACTGCTGCGTTGCTGCTGTCTGCATGTGCGCTGCCAGTCGGACGCGCGCACAGGTGCTGAGGTGAGGGGCGCTGCTGAGGCAGCGGGCACGCAGCAGCCATAGCGGGCTGCAGGGGGGCAGACAGGTGATGGCGAAGGTGGTCTTTGGGTAGGAAAGGCGCATGAGGTGGGGGACGAGGGGTGATGAGGGGAGAGAGAGAACGTACCTGGTGTATGCTGGAGGTCGGCATTGGTGTTGACGTCATGTACATTGGTCTTCAATTTCAACGTAGATAGGTAGATAGGCTGAGTAGAGTAGGCTGGGCGCTAGGCGCCAGACAGTAGGAGCGACCTTGGATACAGCGTTGGTGTGACCAGGGACAGTCGGCATTGACACTCAAGTTCGTTGTATTGCTCTTATTTGGATGGAATCTTGGTGCATTGTGCTCTCTGCTTGGTACATGACTATCCGGACTCCTTCGTGAAATTGCAACTTGGTTTTCTGTCTATTGCTCTCGCTCATATTCCTTGCAATTTGGTATCGTAGCTGGTTCGCGATCGCCGTTACCGGCGCTGACGATATTGTTACTTGCTGCACTGATGAAGCTTCTACGCAGTGAGGATACATTGGCGCTGGCTGTATTGGCGACTCCCGGGTAGGGGGGAGTGTCGCCGGAAGGCTGTGGCGACAGCGTGGGAGCTGTGGTGACAACGGATTATGCGGGATGATGAGAGCATGCTGACATGGCATTTTGGCTGATGTGGCACTCCATTGTAATGTGTGTGGTACCGAGGCTGTGACCGGTCATCAACATGCACGTCGGCTCAATTGGTGAGAAATCTGTGGTTGGGGGCAGCTATTGTCAGGTACGTTGTTTCCTTACCTTATCTGCCCATCTAAATCTCTTCTTACCGTAAGGAAGTGAGTTCAACTTGAGTGTCCTCTTCTGCTACAGGAGTCGTGAGCGCTCTACCTTTAGAGTCGACATTCTTCCTGGAGGTGCATCTGGAAGGAGAGGGCGGTGCCTCTGAGGGGCCCTGGTCGAAGCACGGGTCACGGTCACCATGCCAACCCATGGTAGTAGAGCACGCATGCGTTGCTGCTTTGTCCTTTAAGCTCTTGCTGCGTTGTAGAGGGAATGTGGACTAACGAGTCCGGAACGTCTATAAACAATCTCTGGCTGAGATCTGATACTCTGGCTGTGATCGTCGTCCTGTCTGTGACGATAAATAATTCCTGAGGACTTCCGGGGCTGTCCTTAAATTACCTCTTGATCAGCCAGATCAATCGGATGGGTGGCTCGTTGCACGCGACGATAAATAACGGGCAAAACTGGTCAAAAGTGGGTTCCTGGGCACAAGGGTGGGCCGTTGTGCACACGACAGGCACTGCTGCTTGATGATGCAGTCAGGATCGTTGGATATAGGGAAAGGGAAGATTCCAATTGGTGCTCGTACACAAACACAGTTTATTCTCATTTCTGCATACATCTGTGCAAGTGATTTATTTTTATTTTGATTAGTTTGAGGTGACAGACTGCTAACACCTACCAAACAACCTCAGACTAGAACTGTAGCAGTCTACCTTAGCCAGTTCT